ATCCGTGTGTGTATCTGTGTGTATATCCGTGTGTGTATCTGTGTATGCATGCGTTTGGGTATCTGTGTGTATATCCGTGTGTGTATCTGTGTGTATATCCGTGTGTGTATCTGTGTGTGCATACGTTTGGGTATCTGTGTGTATATCCGTGTGTGTATCTGTGTGTGCATGCGTTTGGGTATTTGCATTTAAATGAAACCTGTTATATCGATTTGAACTTTCGTAATTTTGTTTTTAGCGTGGAAGATACAAAATTTAATCAATGTTGCTTTGGTCTATAAAAGAATATTTGCTGACCCAGGAATTTCATGGTGGTTTTGTGAGGGGAAATAAAATGTTTGTTTGCTGATAAACAAAATTCTTTTTTCATTCTTGAAATGTTTTAAAAAGAAAAAAATTCAAAAATGAAACTCGCGTCTAGACAAACACGCAAACATGGGAAATACAAACAGAAAAAAAGGAGATAAATAGTCAGATATATTAGCGTTCGAGTTCCTCTAAATATATACAATGCTGATTTTCAAGGAAAAAAAAGTTTTTCCCACTATTAAATCTTGTGCCTATTTAATGTAAGCTAAGTGTAACATCAGAAAAGGGAGTCGAGGAATCTGGGACACGTAATGAGGAAAGAAGGCTTGGAAAATTTGATACCCACAAGACAGATTGAAGGTAAGAGAGACAGAGAAACTCGATCCATAATCTGTCTGGCGAGCTTCAGTGAAATGATGGTGGAGACGGGTATGGGAGAGATGACAAAAAGACAAATTTCATTAAGAGTTACAAGGGATAGGAAATTGTGAAGAGTCATAATTGCCAACGTCCTGAAGGGACACGGCAGATGAAGAAATACGCGGATGTGCTGAAAAGTTCTCGGCCCAATTAAGAAAACATGAGAAACTTTTTTTTAATTCCTTTTTGGTTGCGCCGAGAACTTTTCAGCATATCCTCTTAAACATCTCCGTTGCTATATACCTAGTTGGGCACCTCGAGGCGGTGTAGTGGCTAGCAAGCTTGTCTCGCTAGAACAATTGCCACTAAGTAATGAGTTCGATCCTCACTGGGTGCCCCCTACTTTCGTTCTTGTGCTACATCTAAGCTACGCTTAGAAAATCAATGTCAATATGTCTAGTGATGAAAAAAAAAAAAAATTATTTTGCATAGCAAATATTCATTTTTCAACATAATCTCCTTCCTTGATAATGCACTTAATGCAGCGGTAAATATTAATAATTTAACTTGAACATTATGCAGTGAAAATCTTAAAATCTAGATTCTGTTAGGAAATACTGTCGGGATACAGACATGTTGGCTTCCGCCTCATTCCTGTAAGGCGGCGGGGGGGGAATTTTTCTATTTAATTAACAGAAAACTATAGAATTCCAATTCTAGAAGCGTCGTCTCCCCAGGCAGTACCTCTCCCGCGTCGGTGGACTAAGGTTTACACTTTGACGCTTGAGGCATCCTCAACTAAAGAAATGTCGATAAAACTGGGCTGTTTTGGGCCTCTTTTCCCGGGTATAAATTACAACTTAGCCTTGTGCCATGTCCTGTTGGAATAGATGCTTGAATAAGTGTCGTTATTTATTTCCTAGCATCGCTAATAATCGGTGTTCAAGTTCAGAGTTTTCATTACATGTGCACCTGCCTCCCATGGTAGATCAGATCTTCCCAAGTGACCCAGTACCATACTAACATATATATTATGAAATGGACAAAGTCCGACAATTATTTTTTAAGACATTTTTTTATGTTTATACGTTCTTTTTATAGATACAAATATTTAATTAAATGCTCTGTTTATAATAAAATAAAATATAAAATAAAAAGATGAGAGCAGATGTAGACACAGATGAGAGCAGATGTAGACGTGTCAATAAGGACCTATAGGAATCGTTTATTGTTACAAGACTACAAGCACGCATGCCTCGAGCCAGACTATCCCTTAGGCCACAATATCGTCCTGCATATGTACAGTAGGATCGCTAGAGGTTGGACCGAATATCATTCTGTAGTATCCAGAGATCCGGCTTCTAGCTTACAGCAAGTCATAACTGTTTGCGTGTGTAACATCGACCTAGGGAACGACATCTTCCAGAGTGGGTTTGCCTGGGCAACAACAGCTGACCGTTGTGATTGTGCAAGGCACGCTGATAAAGTGTATGATGTACGTCCAGATAATTGTCCTATTCGTTCGCTCTTTTGCCATTCATGTGAACAGAAAGGTGATGTGTTTTTCTTTGGGGGGGGGTCACAGCAGGATACTGCCCGCCCATATGATCCCTTTGTAACCCAACATTTCTCTGACCGACATGATATCATAAAACGTGTCTTCATTTTTTAATGACACTAGCTGTTAGTTCGTCTACAACGAAATTAATGCCCACTGAGGATAAACAATGTATTAATTGAGGTCTGAATACTATTGTATACCAGTTGGTTGGCTGGTTAATTTGTTTAACGGCATATCAAATCCTTATGGGTCATTTAATGCCGAATTTTTGGGGGAGCTATAAAAATATGATGTTATTCTGCTTTCACAATTAAGTACATGTTTGTGTGGAGATAATTACTAGACAAGGTGATATGTCTGTTTTATGTTATATCTTTATTAAAGTTGTATTTTTCAATACAGCTTGATTTAAGAAAGTGTAAGATATTATAGGGATACCGTGAGGAAAGAGTTCTATTGTGGTCTGTTAAGGGCCAGAAAGAAAGACACAGAAAGAAGAAGGTAGGTTGAACAAGTGTATTGAAATAACAGAACATATAGGCAAAATAAGAGTGTTATTAGTCAGCAGATAGAAGTGTCCGTCCGTACTGTCAGGTTACACTGTGTCCCGACTGCCCTGCTTCGGAAGTCTCGCAGGTTAGTATTTATGAAGGAGGAAGAGTTCATTCCAATATAGATAGGTCACCGTAAGTTCTATCATGTTACTTTTTGTTTGGATGATGTTGTTTAGCGGCATATCAACATCTCTATGGGTTATTTAATGCCGAAATCTAAATAATTTGAACACAACTTTATGGCTTCAACTAAATATATTTTGAATACCATTGTGTGCCTTCGACTACAGATAAAATACATCGCTGGTCATTTTGCTATATATGCTGTTGGTCTTTTTTAATATAAAAAAATGCATTGCTGGAATTTTTACTATTAAAATGTATTTCTATACCAGGGGTTTTCAAACTTGACTTGCGGACCCCTTTATATTTCAGGCTTTACCTTAGGGACCCCCTTATAAACGCTTATGAAATTTATACTTAAATATTTGCTGAATATAACATATAATTTTGCATTAACAGCCAATGAGAAAGCCGGAAATCGCAAAATAGATCCAAAATTCAAATCCTTTGGTTCCTCCTCTGCATGAATAGAATCCATTTTCTTTATCAATTTAAGATACAAATTATATTAGTATATCAAATCTATGAAATAGTTTATTGAACCAATTTATTTCCTGATCGGCCTCTAAGTTACTTATAAGAGCTTATAAGTTGCACGTCACCCATAACAAAAGTGTTTGCTGTTCACGGACCCCCTATCATGTCCTTGCGGATCCACTGTGGTCCGCGGACGACAGTTTGAAAACCCCTGTTCTATACTTTCATAGGGTTTTTTTTTCGGGGGGAGGGGGTAAATTATTTGTCCATGGCTAGATCCCTAACAGGTGCTACCATCACGGGTCAGGGTGGACCTGGAAACAACAGCAATTAAGAGTTGGTTCCATGTTCCTTAAAACCGTCAATCTTCCAGTCAGAAGAAGCCTTGATGTTGGATGGAGTTTATTGTCATATTTAAGACTGATACACCCCAGTGAAACATGGGCAAATATATGGGAGCATTTACTGCAATTTAACTACATGCATGTGTAACCTTGAGTAAATTAAAACACAAAACCAGAGTTTAACAATTTTATTTTCCTCCAATATATATGAAATTTATTTTCCAATCTTGTATTTTATTTTAAATATTCACTTTTGCGTGTGTAGGTAAAAAGAGTAAATGGCGAGAAATATTTAGAAAACTTAACTTAGTCTGGGACTTCATCTTAAGAACATCGACCCCATTTCATTAAAAATGGTCAAAGAGATGAGTTTCAGATAAATTATATATATATATATATATATATATATATATATATATATATATATTAGACATTTCACCCCAAGCAAGGCCGGAGTGCCACTAGCATGCAAGGAGTTACACAGAGGGAAATTAAGAGTAACACACACACACACACACATACACACACACACACACACACACACACACATACGCGCGCGCGTGCGCGCACATGGAAGTTTTCCTCCCACTTCCATAAAAACACCGATATACACAACCATATATAAATCCAAAATTTAAAAATTAATCAGTTGGTCTGACGATCGCAAAAGCGTGAAACCCAGGGTCACAAACTCACATCAATCCAACTAAATATGTTAGCTCTATCTCTGATATTGAGCGCTTTCTAATAAGTACCGCATATATATAATATATAAATAATATATATAATAAATTGCATATATATATAACATACATATATATAATATTATATTTATATTTATATACATACAATACATACACATTTCACACACACACACACACACACACAACACACACACACACACACACACACATATATATATATATATATATATATATATATATATATATATATATATCCTAATTTCAATTACTCAACCAGGGAGCAATCTAGAGGCAACGATCATAAATTAGCGTCATCAAAAAATGGGGAGGGCCGATATCTTTCCTGCCAATTTGCCCTAATCTCATGGTGACCTATATACACAGCCTACTATATATGCAAACTACTAATTGGAATAGTGTCGATCTGTTTAAAGATCGCATTGAAGCGTGAAACTGACTGCTACCATGCAGTGTTGATTCCTGTGTCTGCACTAGGCGCTATCACTGGGTGTATTCTCTATGACTCTATTTCACTTTGATAACTGACGCCTTTTTCATCCACTGGCGCATGACTAGAATTTTGTTGAGTCATCCTTCTATCTATCTATCTATCTATCTATCTATCTATCTATCTATCTATCTATCTATCTATTCAAGATTCAGCAAAGCCAGGGTGTTAGTTGACGCTTCTCTCCCGCAACCCAGTCTACTCCGACCAACGTTATCTTAACTGGATTTCAGATCTCTGCCCATATCATAATAGAAATGTTGCCATATGTATATGTGGGTGTTTGTACTTATTGCTGTGGGCATATATGTACATATAATCATTTATAAACACACACACACACATACATATACCCACACGCTTCTGCATATTGCTAATTACAAATGGTAAAAGGAAGCGTTCTTTGACTGACATAGCTTCCCGTCATACCAGCGGTACCACTGGCTATACCAATACCAATAGCAGTGGCCATACCAACTTCGGCAAACATAGACTTTCTTGTCTGCAACAAAATGAAGTCAAAAGGACGTTTTTTTCCACTGGCGACATTATCATTGTAACTACCTTCCATCCTCGTTAATATATGTTGCTTTAAAAAGCGATGATTACAATTGTAATAAAACTTATGATGAAAGCCAATTTATAGATTTTTTTTAGTTCTTGAGAATTTATAACAAAAATATTAAACACTTTTTATTTATTAGATTGTTTATTTACAAGAATAATTTTATATTTACACAACATTCTAAGACATAATAGAATTTAGAACTAATGCAATATTTATCATTTACCAATTTATAAAGAAATAAATATGAAAACAATTTTTTATTCATAAATTTATAAACATTGACTAAATTATTAAAATATTTAAACCAGCTGTAAGGAAATCCTTATTATTATTTACCATTTTATAAAGTTTGAATCAATTAGCAATGTGTCGATGTTTTCTCAACCATTCCAATAAATAATACAATAAATAGTGTTTATTATTTTTGTTGTCAATTTTAAAGCACCAAGAAAATGTATAAATTCACTTTCATATGTTTAGGTTTTATTCCAATTCTAATCATTGCTTTTTAAAACAATAAACATTGTTAAATAGTGAAGGTAGTTAAAATGATAGCGGTGTTAATGGAAAAACTGTCCTTTTGACACTTCGTTTGTTTTTTACAAGCATGAAGTTTAATGTTTGCCCCATCTTCAATATTAACAAAAACGGTATCAACAATTATAGTTTTAAAACGCCTATAAAAATAGTAATGAAAATAGCATAAATAATAATGATGATATGAATTTTCATAATATTTTGATTTGGATCCATTTTAAGGAAAGTTTTCAGCAACCCTTTCTGCTCCCACAGATTATGAAATGGACAAAGTCCGACAATTATTTTAAGACATTTTTTTTATGTTTATACATTCTTTTTATAATTTTTTTCATAAATGTGACGTCATTTGTTTACATTTGGATAAGCTTTGAGCAGATATGAATGTGCGTGAGAGATTCATGGAAGATTGAAGTTTAAAAACAGCAAAATCAACCTTGCTAATCGAATGATTCTCCGTGGTTCGATCGGTTACGGCACGTCAGCCTAAATGACGGTTCCGTATAGGATACAGGTTCGATTCCTGTCAGAGAACGAATATTTTCTATGAAAATTTCTCGGACATTCAGGACGGTAAATGTTATTAATACTGTTTATTATTAAAAAAAAAAATCACAAAAAACAGAGCATTTACTTAAATATTTGTATCTATAAAAAGAATGTATAAACATATAAAAATGTCTTAAAATAATTGTCGGACTTTATCTTATTTAATTATATATATATACATTGTTTTCATCACCAGCACCTGAAAATTTCGTTGTGCATAAAACTCCGTGTTATGCCACCAAAGGGAAAGATGTGTATTTATTATTAATTTAAAGCTCTGTTATTTTACATCGAGCACTACTTTTGTTAACACTTTTGTTATATATATTCAAATTTATAATATATACATGTTATAAGATCACTACAAAGTTGCAGTTTTGTATCAACACTGCTAGCGTCTTATCAAGTGATGATGTTGAATGGAAAACCATTTGAATAGTTTTCCATTGTTTGTAGTGTTCTTATAAGATGTATATGTTATAAATTTGAAGAAATATTATTAACTCTACTCAGTACTGAGCACTCTTAAGAATAGTGTATTTGGTTATTGGAATTTTATTTCATGTACTTATATATATATGTATATATATATATGTGTGTGTGTGTGTCTGTGTCTGTCTGTGTGACGTCATTAGCTGCGGTGAGATTTTCGCTTCCAGCGTCTTATATGCACGAGTTTGTCGTTGCTTGGAAATCTTCCATGTAAACAGATGCAGACTATCATCACTGTTTTGTCCCTGCATTGCTTAATATATTGTAATGTAATTGTCATCTTTGATAATGGCTTATGTAAACCGAAAGCTTAGATTTGATTTAAAAATATGTATCAATATTGTGATTTTCTTTCTTCGTTTAATGATAATGTTATTAAGCTTATCAGATGATATGAAAAGAATTTACATAAAATAAATAGAACATTTGTCTATATTATTTAATGAAATATGCATCAATATATATATATATATATATATATATATATATATATATATATATATATATATAATAAATTAATTGATTTAAAATATGTTTTTTCGCTACATAGTTCTAACCATGTTTCAAAAATGGAAGCTAAAAGCCCCGAATTTAATTTTGTAATTAAATTAAAGACATTAGTTCCATTTCATCCTCAAGCGAATTTTTTTCATTGAGCTCTGTTTTGTAAAAATAAAATATCTATAAGAACACCGGATTGTATATCTTATTGTTCTTTTTTTTTTTATATATATATATATATATATATATATATATATATATATATATATATATATATATATATATATATATATATATATGTGTGTGTGTGTGTGTGTGTGTCACTTATTCTAAAAAGAGAGTGACAGAACGACACTGATTCTAAGCAGAAGTGCTGATGCATACGTAAACAATCTCATTTTTTTATGGGTACTATGCGTGTTTGATAGTAAAAACAAAATTTATGTTATAAACACAATTGAATTAAATAATATTAGGATTTTGTTAGAAATAAATCTTTTAAATAGTAAAAGAATTCCTATTGTTGATGATAACATAATAATGTTGAAGTCGATAATAATAATAATAATAATAATAATAATAATAATAATAATAACAACATGAATGGAGGGAATGGCGTCTGATAATGTCTGCCGCAATAGGATCAACAAGTGCCAAGGTGACGACTGTGATGGAGACAGAGCCAGCTATGTAAAATAATCATAAGTAAACAGCTAACAAACACTCCCACACCGTCTTCCCCGGCGTCCACCACCTTCTTAAGCATTTGCCACCCCCCTTCCTTCATCGTTCTCCTTCCTCCTACTCACTCCCCAAACCTCTTATTTTCACTTTTCGACGGATGTGAAATTTGTTCTCACTTACGGGCGCCGCCAGCAAATTTCACTTGTACTGAATGTTCGTGACCTTCAAGCACTGACTTCTGGAGGGCAAGAAGAACTCCAAATATCTACCCCCATCCTTCATCCCTCTTTACCAGATGTCCACTCCTACCCCAACTTGAATCCTCTATATCATTTTTGCCACTCTAATTCACGTCCATATTTCTTTAATCAACTTAGAGACTTCCATTTTTAAATACGATGCTAAATACAGCTTCGGACATTACCGGCGCCACACCCAAGAAGTTTTTTTTTTAAATTTACGTAAAAAGACATTTCCGAAAGTTATTTAGTAATCAATAAAGGATTCAGCAAGATTTTTTTTTAAATCATTTCACCCTATGTAAGGCAGTAAAGCCACTAAGACACAAGTGGTTACTGAATGTGAAAGAATAATAAAAAAAAAAAAACATTATTAAAGTGTGAACACCACTGTATAGATAAATATTGGTTGAAAATCTAATCGTTTTTCTCAGCAAAACGTCATTTGTTATAAACTGATTTATATATTCTTTACTTTGTTAGCGAAGTTTTTTCAACCATTTTTAATCATAAATATGGTGACCAGGTTTTCTACCAAATGTAGACGTATAAATATAGCCAGGGCCGGCGCTAGTGTCTGAACCCCTCCCCCCACTCTCCGAAACTTTGATAAGGCGTGCTGGCCCTGAATATATCTTTATAACGTATGTAGCTCTTATAAGTAGATACCTCCACGAATTCGCTGAAGAAAGACCATACTATGATGCAAAAAAAAAAAGGCCTCCATCTTGTTAAAAACAAAGTTTTATCATCAAAAACTTTGTTATTATTAAAAGGAAAGACCAGAGTATTTTTTGATTATTTAATTATATTTTTAAATCCTTCTTAGAACGTTCGAAATTTTGCTTACAAATCTTGTTTTTCTTGTGTCAGCGAATGGACTATAAATTAACATAACATATTCTGGCGTCTTTTTTCCGTGAAAAAACACATTGATTTGGAAATTCTTGCAAAAATCAAATTATTGTTGAATTTTTAATGAAACTTTCAGGGCTTATTCGCAAATGAAAGAAATTATTTTAGAAATATTTTTTTGGTAAAATGATATTTGTTTACATCTGTTACACTCTACTTATTTAATATTATGAAAACTAAAAAATTCAATAATGTACCTCTTAAATCTTAATGTTTATATTAGTTAAAGTCGGAGAATTTAAATCATCAGTTACCGAAGATCTGCTTTGAATTGTAAAATAAAAATGCAATAAAACTAAGAGATTATTTAATTAGAAAAACTTAATTGCTTTTATGAATAAGATATATTATGGAATTATAATGAATTTTTACAATAATTTTTTAACCGGGTATTGAACTCACAATCTTTGGGTCCTGTCACTTGAGGACACATGGCACAGTGGATAAAGGCGTTGGTTAGATCTAGTTAAGGCAGTGGAGAACTTTCAGAGGGGGTAATTAACAGAAGATAACTGACACCCATTAAACATGGCACGTGGACTAGAACAGTTTACACCAGTGTGCGAAATAAAGGGTTAAGTTTGACATTACAACCACCTGAAGAAGACCGGAGCGTACAACGGCCGAAAATAAATATAGCGACAAAGATGAGGACAATAGTCCGAATAATGTAAATAATGTGCTTAAGTTAATATTTCGATGTTTATTTAAACCATCTTCGAAAAACTTCGAAGAAAAATGTTTCATTTTGCTGTTTTACATGGATTTTTTAAAAAAGTACATCTATATAGTTATCTAACGTCAATTGCTGATACCCCCTGACGAGTGGACGGAGTGGTTTCTGGATGGTCCGTCTACGAAACTCTGGATTCGGGATAATGAATGTAACATTAATCAGTTAAGTGACAAACTTTATACTTGTGTTAATTCTATCTATCTATCTATCTATCTATCTATCTATCTATCTATCTATCTATCTATGATTCTGCCGAGTATATGTTCATATCTATCATGAAATAGATAGAGAATAGAATAAATCTCGAAAATTATCTTAATTTTTAATTTTTTTAAAAATTCCATTCAGTTTTTCAACGTAGGTTGCTTTCATATAAAATATTTTTTTTAGTGTGCGTGCGTGCTTGCGTGCTTGCGTGTGTATACGTATTTGTAAGGTGATAACTTATGAGAGTGGGTGTGTTATGAGGATTTCTGCCCTTTCAAATAAAAAACGCGACAAATTTGGCTTAGATTTTGCGTGGGCCCCGTTCACTTCCTAAATCTTGTGTTTGAAGGACTTTGCGAAATATTTGTCGAACTTATGGCTTTACAAATATTCATTTTGTCCAGTGGTATTTAAAAAAAAAACATCTTCCCATCAGCATTTTTCCTGATATTTTCAACAATTAATCAATTAAGACAATCAATATCGGTTAATCGATTTTATGAACAAACGAACGAACCTTCATTGAATTTGGAAATCCACAAAGATTCTTAAACGTCAACCGGATTAAATATCTGGCGTGTAAGAAATTCTCTGAATTTCTAGGATGAGGAGTTATCATTATTTACATTTATTTAAATTCGGACTAATGTCCTCATCTTTGTTGTTGTTATCAAAATTTGATGTTGTTGCGCCATTCGTCCTTTTTTAGCTTTCTATAAATTCCGGTTACCCTCAGGTAATTCCCAGCTGAACAATTTATTTAATATACAAGAATAGATTGACCATAGCACGAGAACACACCTACCCTGTGGAGTTCAGTTCGAAATCCCCTTCAGGTTATTATTGAGAGACACCTGAAGAAGGTCGGAGAGTACCATGACCAAAACGTTTTGATAATAACAACAAAGATGAGGACATTAATCTATGATCGATAAATAGTGTAAGAAATCATTTTGTATTCCCCTGTATTTCTAAAATTTATAGATTTGTTTGGAATCATCGACTTGGAGAATAGTTTTCAAAGATTAGAAAAATATTTTTGACATTAAAAAAAAAATTCTTCGAAAATGAAAAGCAACCCAATCTTTCGGTAGTAACTTTAATCGATTAACACAATTCGGATAATCCTTCGGGATTATCAAAGATGCTATAATCTTTAGGGATTAATGGCGCTACACCGTATTTCTTTTTTCTCTTTTTAAAATCAAGAAAGGCTCGAAAAATCGAAAAGAAAATTGTTGTTAAATCCACTGAAAGGAACACAAATCGACTTGATAAGTCAGAATAGAATGAACTCTGAGTGATTGTTTTAAGAGGGGATAATAAATTTTATAAGAGAGTGAGAGAGAAGGAAAGAGAGTAAGAGAGAGAGAAAGATGGAAGGGGAGAAAGTGGGAGAGAGAGTAATAGAGAGAAAACGGGAGAAAATGAGAAAAAAGAACAGAGTGAGAGAGAAAGTGAGAAAGAAAGAAGCAAAGATAAGGAGAGAGAAGGAGAGAGTAGAGAGAAGGAAAGATAGAAGGCAAGAGAAGGAGAGAGAGAAAGAGAGTAGGTGAGAGAAAAAGAAAGATAAGGAGTGAGTGAGTGAAAATGAAAAAGAGAAAGAGTGAAAGAAGAGAGAAGGGAAGAGAAGAAGGGAGGAATGATATAGAAGGAGAGAGTAAGATAGAAGGAGAGAGAAAAAGAAAAGACAAGGAGAGAAAGAGAGAGAAGACAAAGAGAGAAAGAGAGAGAAAGAAATAGAGAAAAGGAAGAGAAGGAGTGAAAGAAAGAGAGGGAAAGACTGAAGGAGAGCGTCAAAGAGAGAGATAATAAGAAGTGAGAGAGAAAAGAGTAAGATAGGAAGGAAGAATTAGAGAGGAGAAGAGAATGAAAGAGAGAGAAACAGAGAGGAAGAGAGACAAGAGAGTGAGAAAAAAAAAGAAAGAATGAGAGAAAGAAAAGGAAGAGATTATACCTTTTGTTACTTGTAAAATCCGTCATCTGCACAGATATTTGCAGCATTATTGTATTACTTTAAACTATGAAAGTTTTTAGTATTTTCCAAAGCAAAGGTAGGTTTTTTTAAGCAAAGGTAGGTTTATTTAAAGAAAACATTTCCAATTGATCTCTTTTCAGTGGAATCTTTCTCACCGTAAATCGATATAAGCAAGACTTTTCGAGTTTTTTTTTTCAGTGACATAGTGCTGATAGCAGACACGAAAAGGAAAGTAGAAAACTTCCTACAGAAGAGCTAGAGACAGAATGTATGGTCATCAGCAAAAAAGATGAGCCCGAAATGTGGTTTACAGGTTAGGAACACTAAAATCAAGCAGGTGCGAAAATTTAAATATCTGAGAAGTGTTCAGAAAGAGGTCGGTAAGTGCGACGCTGAGATCCAAAGACGTATTGGGATATGGCCAAAGACGCATTCTAAAAGCTAGACAATGTATTACGAGAGGATTTCGTTGGTAACAAAGAAAAAAGTACTGAACTGCTACGTAATATCTGTCCTCATTTACATCAGCAAATGTTGGACGGTCTCCTCAAAGATGAAGAAGAAACTCAAGGCAACAGAGGTATGGTTCTACAGAAGGATGCTAAGGATATCATGGAATGAGCATGTGAGCAACGATAAAGTTTTGGAGAGGATGCAAACAAAGAAGAAACTTATACTTAACATCAGAAATAGGCAGCTGGAATTTCTGGGACACGTAATGAGAAAAGAGGGATTGGAGAATCTGATACCCACAGGGCGGATGGAGGGAAAGAGGGAAAGGGACGTGTGACATACTTAACGAACTTAAACAAATGGATGGCAGAACGGGGTCTGGGTGAAATGACAAAAAGATAAAACTTATTGAAAGCTATAAGGGACAGGAGGTGGTGGAGAGCCATGATCGCCTACGTCCTGAAGGGACACGGTGTATAAAAGAACTTCCCTCTATTTAATTCAATGTAACCAGAATTGCATTTGTCATTTCAATCTCTGTCCGTCCGGGGACCAGTCAGAATCCTAGACGTGAGAAGGTTTCTAATCATCACATTACTGTAGGTACAAAAAAAGGTCGGTATATAATTAAAGAAACAGGTTTACAACTAATAACAGGGATTACTGACAGCTCCTAGGAGGTCACTAAACAAAAGAATATGGACTTTTTGCTTGACTTTAGTAGGAAGATGAAATCAGGTTATGACGGAAATAAAAAGGGTTAAATATTTTATCTACAATTGATATTGTTATTTGGGACACTCAATTTGGGGTATGAGAAGAGTGCCCTGGGGTCGGGGAATAGAGTATTCTATACCAAAAAGGAGGCAAATGAGTTTCATTACTACATATTAAAAAAAAAAAGAAAAATTAAAATTAAACAATTTTTCTTGAACTACCAGACATTTACTTCTAAAATCAGTGATATCTCTGTATCTTTTGCCTTTTTTTTGGTGAAAAAGTAGATTAAAATATTGAAGGCTGAGAGGTTCAAAGTAAGCCTAGACAAAGAATATAACTACGTTTTCGGTATATAGATTTTTTAAGTGTAGCTTAGACGTAGCACAATGCCGGAAGCATAAGGCACTCAGTGTGAATCTAACTCGCTGTTCAGTTGTAATTGATATAGCGAGACAAGCTTGTTAACCATTACACCACGCCGAAGTGCCCAAACGATATACTAAGCGTAACTTAGTTGTGGCACATGACCGAAAGTGTGGAACACCAAGTGAGGATCGAATTCACTAGTCTCAGTCGTGATTGGTCTTGCACAACGTTTTTGGTATGATAAAGGGAAAATAAAGTGAAAGAGAGGATTTTACAAGTAATCAACTATCTGGTGAAAAATGTTTTCTTTCGCTTTGAATTGAATATTTTCTGTTTAATGAAAATACAATTAATGAGTCTCACTATCCAGGCACCTATCACAGAAGTGCTCAGTCAGAAATTCTGTATTTTAACAGTCAGTCAGTCAGTTATGTGCCATGTGTGATACACGCTTAGGCGATCATGTATCTTTCGATACATGACTGACGAGGCAGATTTTTCCCGTAGTACGTTGCTATTTCTTTCTGCGTTAGACCAGTTACCATCCAAAGATATAGACCCCAGTCTGCCCTGCTATTTACCCAGGGCTGGGGGGGGGGAGAAGAAGAGGATTTCCAAGGGTATTAGCACTTAAATGAATGTAATGGATTCGACTAGAATTCGAACTCGGCTCTCCGCTTCCTCAATCCGAGCCGCTATCCATTACACCATCAGCTGAGATTTAAAAACGAAATTTTGAGCATTCATTAAATCTCTAGCCAGTCTTTCAATCCTTCATTCTTCATAATTGTGATCCTCTGCCATTTTGATAATAAATATTTGAAATAAAAGATGGTGAGCTGATCATGTCATCACATTCGATTTGAGAAATTGCGGCGGCACAGTCTTAACATTCAGCCCTGTTATTGGCCGTAGTAAGCTAAATTTAGTTATTATCAAGAGGAAAGTCAATGTTTTTGATGCGTCTCTGTTTATAAATAAAAGCGGGAAATAAATCGTCGGTCGAAATGAACTGAAGCAAAAAGCAAAACAAATTACGTCAAAACGAAAGTAAATGACATCAAAATATTGAACTGCGTTTCCCCCGCGTCTTTAGGTCAACAGTCAACGGCAGCGAAGCGTAGAAGGGAAGCGGGGAATGGGCTGAGGAAGGAGAGAAGGACTAGTGTTTTTCTCTTTTTTTTTTCAACCAAACCTTTGTTATGACGTCATGCCCTGATGTTAAGAAAATGACAACGAGTGCACATTATTGACAGTTTTTGTCTCTGACAATGTTTCCACTTTCATACCACACGAATAGTCATCAAATTGCACCTTAAAGTGTCAACGGGTCTTTTTCTTTGGTCTTCACTAAAAGTTCACTTATTTTTAAGTACAGGATCATAAAAAGTGGCAATTTTTATGTGCCATCCCCTAATTTTAATTCATGTGGGGTGGCTAATATAATAAACTAAAAATATCAATTCCCACTGAATATGTAAATTTGAATAGAGTGGGAAATAAAGAAAAAGTGCCCAAGTGCTATACAGCAGTTACCTCTTCGGGTAAACAGTCAATATTCTAATATTAATACAGAACAGACATTTTTGAATAATTTTTATCACAATATTTTTTTTCATTTTATAAGAAGGCAAAATTATAAAAAAGAAGCATTTTGTTTGAAAAATTATTATTATTATTTTATTTTTTTTTTTTTATTTTTATTTTATTTTATTTTTTTTTTTGCCAGAACGATACTTTTTGATATGGTGTACAGAATGTGTCGGTCAGAGCGAACTTTCTTGATATGGACTTCCATATTAATCGATCAGAAGGACCACTCTGTACAGATACTTTGGAAATGATTTGTTATCGATCTTTTTTCGTTATATTGATACCGACATGGTCAGTTAGAAAGATCCTTCTTGATATGGACTTCCATATTGGTTGGTTGGAATAATTCTTCTTGATCAAAGGTTTCGAATTGTTTCCTTCATCTTATGTTCAAGTAACAAAATTATGCCCTCAGCTTCAATTTTTAAAAGAAAAAAAAAAGAAATAACCTAAATATATAATAAATATTATGCAAATTTATATATACATTTAATCGTCCTTGTCATGCTTATCTATGGAGGTAACAGCTATTTACTGTTACGACAGTCAAAGCAGGTAAGATATTTATGGGAATGTGTTCACTTACCAATTATCTTTTCTCTCAACCATCGTGGCTTGCTAAGTGACGTGACATTTTGTCATGATATTCTGACATTAGAACAGAGGACAGGGAAGTTAATATATGCTGCTTTCGTAGAGCCTTACTGAACATAAGAAACTTCAATCGAAACTCGATCCCGTATCGCCAATTCATTTTGACAACCATAATTTTTTTTTATAAAGCTTAACTTAACATGACACCTAAAAAAATACTATGGATCATTTTAGAATAAAGTCCACCAAAAATAAAACGTGAGAACCACTCAAAATGAAGGATTAGTGTTAAAATATTTATGATGAACGAAACATTTGAAATTAATGAAAGATGAGATGGTAGGAAGTGAAGATTTTTGAGAATACAAGGAAACATCAATCATTGATTGAATATGTTAATTTTTTTAATATTTAGGGAAGCACAAACAGGGGAGTCTGTTTAATAAAGTAGCAGTTCTTGCCGTTTGAGTGAAACTTTCTTCTTACATTAGGAACATTGAGGAAATGAAGGTGATTTGAGTCCGTGGAAGTGACATGACGTGTTCTAGTAGTAAAATTTTAGACTAGCGGATTTAAAGAATGGATTTCAAATGAACCTTTGCTATGGAAATAGCGATAGAGTAGCGACAGAATTTCAACATTACATCTGTGGGAAAGGGACCGTAGGAAGATTGTTTTGCGTCAATATTTCATATAAGGAGAGTCTGCTTTGAAAACCAGTATTGTAAATCCTGTCTTTTCACTTAGGTTCAATCACTGGAAACGAATGAGAAACACAATCCCAGTGATTGAGTGAATCTTAAAAGGAAAATGTGTTAAAACCACTGATATGTTCGACTTGTTGAAAAGTTGTACGAATGAATCCAATTTTTATAAAAAGGAGATTGAATTTTCTGAAGTTATTTCTATCTTCGTATTTTTCAATCTGTAACAAGCAGTTTTTTTTTTCTAAAAAGAATAATAAGTATTTAAATGTTTAATTCTTTAAGTTAGTCGGTATTTAAGATGAAGCTGATCATCGACTGTTTCGTCAGCACAATATCAGCCAACAGAAATTGCGAATCAATTCCTGGATATAGCTTCTTTTTCGAGCCTTGAAGTAAAAAAAAAAGAAAAGAAATGAAAAATCAATAAACAAAAGGTAAAAATGGAGGCAAATGATGTATTTGAGCATAAGGTAGGTAAATATTTCCTCTTTTTTTTGTAGGGACGTCCAAGATTAATTTGTAGCACTCTAAAAGATTAAAAATCCACCTCTAAATTTGCCTTTCATAACCAT